TGTCTGCAAAGGCCTACACACCAAAAGGGCTTCGAGAGGGCCAAGGAGACAAAACATCATATTCTCAGGATCTATGTTGAGGGGAGAAGGTGGAACAAATCTGGGTTACTAAGAGAAGCCACCGAGGCTGGGACTGCACACGGGCATGTGCAGAGGTCAGTAAAGAAGAAACCCTCCCCTCCCCGCAGGCAGTGATGTGCCCTGAAGGTGCCACATCTCTAGGAGGACTTGTAAGGTGCTAGTGGTTGAAAACCCCTTCAGTACATCCCTGTAATGCCATCAGTAAAATTTTGTGCAAATGGATTCTTCAGTGGGGCGGTAGGTGCCATGTGTCAGGGTGGGTTTGGGTTGAAAGGGAGGAGGGAATGGGCGCTATCTAGGTTACAAGTGGAATGGTCTGTCATCCCAGTGCTTGCCCTTCCAGCTGAGGAGCTCAGAATGGCTGGAGCTAGGTGGGATTATAACAGAAGATGTGATTGCAAATGCAGGTAGGGATCAGATGATGGCCTTGCATATCCTGGAGAGGACCTTGGACTTCATCTGTGCGTTAGAGGTGAGGAGAAAGCCTTTTAAGTAAGCCCTGGCTGCACTGATGATGTGCAGGACACTGGGGACAATGGGCCACACTAGGAGACCCTTATAAACAGGTCAGTGAGCCAAATATTATCAGCTTTAAATATTTTAAAATATCTATGTTTTATTATCTAGTAAGGAAAGTTTCTATGTATGCTCTTAATTTTTCTTTTTTCTTAGCTGTGCTTTCTTGTTTATTTTATAAGATAAACCCCAGGATCATTTTGTTTGGATACATACTCTCTTTTTGTAGGGATCTTGATTGGAATTTGTGTTGAATCAGTAATTAGTATGGCAAGAACTGGCACTCTAGTATTCATTCTTCCCATCCAGGATGTGGTTAGTATCTCCACTCACTCCGCTCTCCTTACAGCGCCCAGCCCGCACCTGCCTGTCTGCTGAGTAACGCTGTGCGGACTGAATCAGCAGCAACAGGAGGAAAATAAGAGCAACACGATGACTTTCCATAAAACAAAATTAATTCTTCTTAAATAACTGTATTTCCCTCTTTCCCTACTCTTTTTTTGGGGTTGAATTGGCCTTTCTATTATAAAAAGGCTGTTACTGGAATTTTTTCTTTTTGTTTTCTAAATGCGTAAGTTCGCAAAATACATTGTAGAAATTTTACTGATGTGTGGAATCTCGAAGTCTGGATTCATTTTCAATAGGTCTTTATTACGCAGGCCATCTCCATTTTGGTAGGGATTTTTGGATAGGGGTTGGTTTTTGAATGGAGTCTTTTTTCCTAGTATATCTAATTATACAGTTCCCTGATATAGAGACTTAAGTGTTATTCAGCAACCATCTATCGAACTCCTTGAACAAGGACTTGTCCCTGTATTTGGAGGCCCAGAATCTAGCCAAGGAGGTAGGAACAGTTGATGATCACAACACTGTAATGAGAAGCAGTTATGGGACAAAGAGAAGGGCTCTCAGTGTAGCCCATGGGAGAAAGCATTTCCAAGAGGTGTTGATGCTGGAGTTCACTGAAAACAAGGACCCCAGTAAATGTTTGCTGGATGAATGAATGAATGCTGAAAACTCAAAAAGACTGTGTTTTAATGAAAGAAAAATTATTTTGGTCTCCTGTAGAATCCTAGATGTGAGTATAGTAGGTGGCGGTGCTGTTTCGCTTAAGGCGTCCGCCACCTCATTCCCTCCTGCCTTCCCCATCTGCAAATCACCAAACTGGTGAGGGAGCATCCCTTGCCATCAACTTCTCATCCTACTTTGACTTTGGGCCAGACTCAGAGAGCTCTCTGGGGCTAAGGCATGTCTTTATGAAGTTTTTAAATGTACAAAATCAGGGTGCATTCCCCAAAGTAGAACAAAAGAAAGGAGGAAACTAAGAACAGGAGCTCGTCTCCTTTCTGGTGCACTTTCTGCCTAGACACTTCTCTGCTACACATGCTCTCTGGGCCAGGTCGTCCTGGTACCTCCTATACATTCAAGACTCCACAATCCAATTTTCAACTCCTCAGTGGACGTAACCTCCTGGACAAACTTCTTGGTCATTTTTCAGGACCCAACTCCTCAGTCACTGACCCTGCCAGTCACTGGTCCACACCCGGGGACACTGTGCTCACTGGTTACGTGGCTGTTTCCCTAACTAAATTGTGAGCTCACGTAGGGGAGAGGCCAAGCTTTCTTCTTCTTTTTCTTCTTTTGCACCTGCAATTCCTGGCAAAGGGCTTGGCACTATTATTCAACTGAAAATGCTTCTCTGAACAAATGAATAAATCAGCTGAGGTTAGCTCTGTTGACATTTTCTTTCTTCAAACATATTTAAGTTGGGCAATGCTCTCTGAACTTCTGACCAGGAAAGGGCCCTATTAAGATAGTGATTTCCCCTTTTCATATGGAGGAAGTGGCCCTTATGGGGGAAGTTCTGAACTCTGTAACACCACAGGCTTAATTTTCTTTAGCTTGTCTGTCAGCATAAACACATAAATTTTCTTTAGCTTGTCTCTAAAAAATATCTGCAGTATGAACTTTTGGGGATAATATATAAAAAGGATAAAGGTAATTTGGCCCAATTTAAGTAAAATGTATGAAGCTTCTTTGGAAACTTTAAATATGCATACATACATGTATGTAATATATGTATATATGTACATACATACATGGTATAAATGGATTTTTAGAAGGTACTTAAAAAAAAAGCCAAATCTATTAAAATTACTATTCCACATTAACATGAAATTTCCACTTATGATTAACTAGTACTTTTAAAAGAACAAAATGTGCGAGATTCAAGCCAACAGGGACTGTGTTGCTGTAGTATGGCTTAATATTTATAGAAACATAATCAACATTGCAAAAGAGCTTCTTTTAAATTGGCAGCTAGAAGGGTCTTAAGTGCAAATCACTTCAGTACAAAGACTGAGTCTCTAATGGACAGGCCTGGTGGATTACTCGGGGCAGCTGCCCATGAGTTTGGATACAGCTGTGCCAGAGGCTATTCTGACATGCGGTGTGCAGTGTAAGTTTTACTGCTAGAAACCAAGGGCGAACTAGGGGTGAGGGTAAGTGTCACAGATGCTGGCCACCAACTGGGGCATGGAGGGTGGGGGGTGGGCGGCTTTCTGGAAAAAGAGGAACACTGTGATGATGCTACCTCTTTGCTGCAGGTTAAGTTTTTACTATTCTTCTAGTGCCTTTCGGCTCTCCCCAGCCCGCCATGGGGATCAACTTTTCTGGCCAGACAGTTCAAAATTGCCAGGCCACCCTGAGACTGTCCCAGAAAAAACTGCAGGCAAGACATGGGCACAGGGGCCCGGAAATGATGTGTGATGTTGTCCATGTTCTTGAGCAGCTTACTGTCCAGGGATGGAGCCATGTGATCCATAGAGTCATTACCCCAAAGGCATCCCTACTTTGACTATGATGCTTTAGGCCGGAGGGAGAAGACAGTACAGCTGACTCTTGAACAAGGCGGCATATAATTTATAGTCGGACCTCTCTGCATCCACTGTTCCTTTTCATCCCTGAATTCAACCAACCGTGGACCGTGGCAGTTCAAACTCCATTGTTCAAAGGTCAACTGTATTTGAATTTTCAGTTCTCTACTCCAATGGTCTCATTTAAGCCTGGGTGCCCAGGAAACTCGCCTGAACCTTTAAACTTTCTCTCTCTCTCTCTGACACACACACACACACACACACACACACACACTCTCCCTCTCTCTCTCTCTCCCTCCCCCCCGGGACCTTCATCCCCAAAGAGTGTACACACTCTACCTTGGGGGTCTGGGAGGGCTCAGGGGCTATCAAGTGCTCCAGATGAGGCTCCTCTGCTTTCTCAGTCTTCGAGTAAACAGACAACCACTTGCCTCAGAGCTGCAGGTGTCGGCTTCATGGTCTTTTTAGCCCTTTGTCTAATACCAGACACTTGCCCTCGTAAGGATCAGCTCTGTTCTGCCCACCAGGTCTAGGCAGCCTTCCTTCTCCATCTCAGGGTAGCCTACATAATGGGGTAAACAAAATCGTAAAACTCACAGCAGCAGAGCCAAGGAAAGTGTTGGACAGTGTTTACACACACTGTGTCAGGGAAGGTTCTATAGGGGAGAGCTGAGAGGCTGGAGAGAACTGTGGGATCCTAACACATGCCCTCTGGTCTTGCGGGGTGTGCTGGCATTGGACTGCTCATTTTAAAAGAACTCAAGTCAGCCTAACCCAAAGAAGCGAGTCACCTCTCAGCTTTGCAGGCCCTAAAAAAGCATTTATGGGGTTCAGGACACATGATCTTAAAATGTGGTACCTTGAGGGACTTGAGAAAATGGCAGAAGCAGGAAGGTTTCCCCAACTGTTCCCCTGCCCTCTTCTCCTGAAATAGGTCATAAAACCTTTATGTGAGAGGCGCCCTCCCTAGCCCCAGAGGACAGGAGCACCCTTATCCCTGAAGACAAGACAGAGGGACTCCGAGAACTGGAACAGGCCTTGCTAGGTTTCCCCCACTTTGCTGCTATCACCTCTCAGTCTCTGACCTAAGGTATTTCTACATGGATGCCCACTCTTTATCAAACCTAGGACAGAAATACTCAGGTTTAATTGTTCCTGTGGGTCTTCATCTCTTTATGAAGGCTCCTGTGTCATGTAAAATTTATACTAAATTAATTTCGTATGCTTTTCTCCTGTTAATCTATCTTTGTCAGTTTAATTTTCAACTGACACAGCCAGAGACCCTCAGGGACTCAAGGAAAGCTTTTTTCTCCCCTACATACTTCACCAAAGTTATTTTACTTTTAGTTTTGAGAGGTTCTGGAAATAGAAAGGTCTTTCCCATGGCGGGGGGTGGTTTGAGAACCCAAGACATCCTTAAAAGAAAGGAAATGGCCTTAATGTTTCAAAAGATCAAGGAGGAGTTGAGGAAGTGAGAAAATAGAGCTGTTGCATGTGAAGAAATTAAATAACTCCCCACATCTTAGAGCCGATTGAATTTACAGTTTACTTAAAAAAGGGGGAGGAATACATACACAGGGAGGAAAAAATGGGATGGGAACAACAATGATCTGAAATGGATTTCTACAATTCTCCCCTACAATGGTGGATTTTGTCTGTAGGGCAGTATTCCTCCTGCTGGCGTACAACTGCTTACAATATTAACAAGGCTGTAGACAAGGGAACTGCCAAAGTTTGGGCCCAAATGGAAAAGAGAGGAAGTTATCATATACAATGTAAGTTTACAATACACAGCATTTTCTTTAAAGGATGTAACGCAGTCGCAGGAAGTTAACAATACTAACATGAGAATAGTCAAATTTTTGTTTGTTATCCATGTACAGCAACTAACTGCTTTACAAAAAAGCAAAATAATACAATATATCATCACATGTATTTACAGTGTAGTAAATATACTTTTCTGTCAAATTTTACACAAACTATTTACAGGTGAATATACTGCATTAAAAAAAATTGTGTGGCTGACACTAATAGTGAATTTTTGTATAAGTCCATTGCATAACAGTGAGTAAGACATGCCTCATTATGCCTGGGTTGGGGGGTGGGATGTAAAAACAAAACCAAAAAACAAACAAACCCTAAAACCCACTAAGCAGGGAGGGCTGACGGCTTACATTGTCTCCCCCAGGACAGCCATTCTTGGGGGTGGAAGCTGACTGTTCTCTGTGGCGTCCTCAGGACCTGCGCGGGGCGGCATTCAGTAATGAACAGGTGCTGAGTGGATGAAGGACAGAGCACTCGCCACTTCTCCCAAAGCCAGAGAACTGCATCTCAGTGCTGGCAAACAAGGGCGTACCCCTGGGACAGGGCGGTGATAAAACAGGGAGATCAGGCATGCAAAATAACGTGATGAATTCATGTTTTCCTTTTTAAAAAGTCAGGGGAAATATCCACAAACCTAAAACAAATGACTTTACACAACTTATATCAGATTATGCAAAATGGACAACCTGCTCTGGACTCTAGAGTGTCTTGTGTCGGTTACAGGTATGAGGCCTAAAGAGAGTTTCACTTCTCAGGGAAAGCATGTTCGTGAGAGATTTATCTCATGTTCATTTTAGTTACTGGAAAGCTAGATTTTCCTCAAGAGTTGGAAATTCTTCAAACAAGGTAAAATTTAAACCTTAGTAAGTTTTCAAATTCTCAGGATGTACTGATCAAAAGTATTTCCGCCAAAGAAGGCTCAATTTTGACTTGTGCAATGCAGATCATTTCATGAGGTACTTCAAGTGAATTTACGCCATTCATTACACTAAAGGGAAATAATGACTAAATTTAAGAAATAGCATACCTCGGAAGCCTCATTTATGGAAAGATCAGTATTTTCTAATAGTAAATTTTCGAAGTTCCTCTGTTATGATGGAAAAAGCAAAATAGCATAAAACTACCCACTGTCATTGCACCAAACCAACCAAAGAGAGGAAAACATGGAACCAAAATGATTAAAGGCTCACATCTGTCTTTTACTCCTGGAGCCAGGAAGTTGTGATACCCACTCCAGAAACACTGGGTTGTGGGGGAACTGGGACCTTACCGGCAGCTTGGCATCCTTGGCACTGGGGCTGTTAATGATCTGTTTCTAAACTAAGCTCTAGTCTTAGCTTCCTTATCGTCTCAGTTGCTCTGATATTATAAACATTCAATTCTAATGCAGCCTCTACAAAAGTTAAAAACAAAAGTTTAGTTATTTGCACCTGTCTTCAATATTTTCCAACAATTTAATGTCAAAATAACTATTAATACTAAGGTTTTTTTCTTTTTATTTTGGCAAATGGTTCTTTTCCCAGGACTGTAAACAAATTAAAAGAATTAAATTCCTGTTATTTCTGAATATCAAAAGCAATTTTATTTACATTAACATATTACATTGTTATTGTGTTGGATAAATGTGAAATGTGTTATATTATTAAAATCAGAACACTTAAATGTACCATTATTTATTGATTTAGCTGTGGAACTTAATTTACTGCAATCCACTCATGAGATAGCACTACAGGAAACCCCCCTCCCCTAGGTTTCTTCTCCCCTCCCAAAGCCATTACATCTTAACATAGAAAGGCAACCTGGGGATAGGAGGATAATATCTTCTTGTAATAAATATGGTTTAGTCCTAAATTGGAACATCCAGATACTAATATATTCGCTGAAGTCAAATTATTTTGCACACTGCAGGTACCACAAAGAAATTCGATCTGCATTACTATGGAAATTCCAATGCCAAGATAATCCATACCATTCAGTATAGCAGCAACTCTTAAGGTCCCCCTATTGTCACACTAATGCAGGCTGACCAGTCATTTCACAGTGATTAAATGCAATTCTATCATATAGAATTCAAATGTTTTGCTAAAGAAATTCCTGATTTTTTTTGGAGGGGAGGGGAAAGATTACAAGACATTTAAAATATATCTTATTGAAAAATTTTGATAATATACACCATACTCTCTGGGAAAATCATTAAACAAAATAAAAGCATCAGCTATTCTAATAGTCACGTACCATTCCATTTTGCTATGGAGCTAATGCAACCATCTACGAAAACTACCTTCGAGGAACAATTTTCAACACTTTGTTCACTGATTACCCTGATCAGAATTATTTAGGAAAGAAGAGGAGGAGGGGGAAAATGTATAATTACTATACTTAGTATAGTTTTGGCTTACAAAAACAAAAAACAAATTTTAGCATATTTAAAGATTATAAGATAATCAACTGGAGAAAAATATAAACTAGTTTGGATGACTGAGTTTGGATAAGGCCTCAGAACTCATCGCTTTTAATTCGGTAATGTTAAGATATATGTGGTTACATTTATTTTCCTGTAATTATTGCTAATACTCAAGTGTTAGTATTTCTTAAGAACCCACTACAAAATACTAAATACCTCCAACCCCCCCACCCCCGCCCTCAAAGTACCTTGCCTGTGGCTTTATGGTGTGAAGTCACTGAGGCTTGACCTCTGTGGTTCCTTCAGTTTTGTTAAGGTTAAAAAAAAAGTCCACAGCTAAAAGTCAGATTAAACATACTGGGGTTATAATATTATTTCTCCCATAGACTTCTATCTTGAAAAGTGTGTAAATAAGACTAACACTTTACTTTGTATGATGAAGAAGGGGAAAACATAGAAGGCAGAGCTCTGTGCAAATGGCTTTCATAGCTGGCACTGCAGTAGTAGCAGTATTCAAGAATTCATCCTCTCTCACAATTGGGATGTTCTCAGTTCAAGTGTCCTGACCTCCCACTTTCTCTGCAGTTGTTCTGAACACTTGCTTACATCAGACACACCAAAAGTAGAAGGAAAAAAAAGTTAAAGAAAAAAAGCAGCATTAAATTTAGGCAATGCTTCCAAGAGCTGAGCATCTGGCGACACGGCAGACTGGACGGGCTGGTTATAAAGCATGGAGTGCGGCATCACAGCACGGTGGTGAGGGGTCACTAGTGAGGAGCCCGTGTAAGTTAAGTCTGTTTGAAAAAGGAAAGAAAGAAAGCTTCACACGATCTTCTTAATGCTATTACGTTTGAAACTGCCAGCGCTTCTTTGCTTCTGCACCTGGCTTGCGGATCCATGGCGAGTTCGTCCACTGTTACAGTGGCCAGTGGTGGGGGAGAGTTCAACGTTCTCCTTGTCGATTCCTGGAGAGAAACAGAGCAGCCAGTCATCCCTCCTCCTCTGGTGTTAAGCTCCAGGACTGAATCTCATGATTTGTATTCGAGAGACAACCTGGTATATTGTTTTTGCATTATTTCATTTCAATAGTCAATTGCTAGAATGTTTACAAACACTGTCACGCAGAAAACCTCACACTTTGTTAAGCAAAATTTGCTATCACAGCAGAAAAACAGCATAAGGAGAAAAAAAAACAAAAACAAAAACAAAAAAACCAAACAGAAGTTGCAAGGAAAAGCTAGAGGCAGGCAGGCTTGAGCTGAATGAAAGGCTAGCAGCCACCAAGGAAGACGGCTTCCTTCAAATCATACCAGAAACTTCCAGCAGAGGTCAGCTTCTAGCCACATATCCTTACTGGTGTTTATACACCGAGTATATTCTGTAGTTGCAGAAGGTACAGAAATTCATCATTTCAAAGAAAGGTAGATGCTTTTTATTTTTTAAAATAATAGTGCCTATCCCAAAGGAACTCAAATATTTACTGAGAAAATAATACATCACCAAGGTCATTATAGTATCTTTCCTTTGACCTTCTTTTCAACTCTGGCAAGTCATTTTTTTTGTTGTTCTGCACCTCAAATAGATGCCATTTATTTCTCTCATAGAGGAGATTAAACCTCCCCCAACTGGGCCCTACAATGTATTTTATAAATAATCTAATTAGTATCTTCATTAAAGAAACCAGAAGCAAACACAAGGTATTTTTTACTCATCAGATTAGAAAAGATGACAAATTAGACAGGTAACAGAACAGTGGTTACCTCTAGGGAAGCAGTGACTGGAAAAGGGTATAAGGATAGTTTCTCGGGGTGTTGGTAATGTTTCTTGACCTGGAGGCTGGATTTTTAAGTATGTTTTCTTCTTAAAAGTTCAATAGGTTGTAAACTTATGATCTGTGTGCTTTTCTGTCTCTTACACTTCAATGAAACTTACTAAAATAATCAGACCGATTATACCCACCTTTGGCATAACTATTGCTAGGAAAGCAAAAAGCATTTTAGAAATTTGTGTCAAAATGTTAAGCACTGGTTGATAGTCACTGATACAGAAAGATGATCATAATTTTGGAGTAAGGGGGGAAAAAATCCACATACAGGAAAAAAAAAAAAAAGCCTGGGAAAACATTTGCCAAAATATGTTATCTCTGGATGGTGTGATTTCAGGTAATTTTTACTCTGTTCTTATCTGAACCATTTGAATTTTAAAATACACGTTACATTGGAGAATGGAAAAATTTCTATTTTTGGACAACAATAATACTTCAAGTCAAAAAGTACTTATGTTATTGAAAATGTACACAGACCCATGCATCTATTTGTTGGTTCAAGGAAAGGAAATGGATTTGTGATGACCTCTTTCTAGGGGCCACACATCCTTCATTTGGATTCAGCCTTGAATTCAGTTCAGAGTATGAGACATCCACAGGCACACAGCCTGATGTACACAGGTTCTGTAGAGGTTCCTCTTGAACTTATCAAAGGACCATGGGCATATGAAAAAGTGCACTGGGCTGAGGCTGCGAGTGCAGGGCTACAAAGGTCAGCAGTACCTCCCCAGGGGCCAAGCAGAGGCAACCTGCATCTCGAATCTGTTCTAATCGCATCCTATGGGTAGAAAGATGAACAAAAGAAAACACATGGCCATGTTCACAGAACTTTTCTCTGGGTAACAGATTCCTGGATGATTTTTATTCTGTTCTGCATATTTATTTGCATCTTCTCCAGAGCTCTTTAAAAAAGAAACAAAAAAACTGAAAGACTGCTCATCATCACTTGAATGCAACTTGAAACCTGTGATATGTTTTTGTGCAGCTCTTTCAATTGCCTCACGTATCTCCACAAAATGCAACCCATATTTTTTTCATCTCTATTCCCTTCGTGATGCATTCTTCTGTCTCCTGCCGGAACTACTTTCTCCCTCCCTTCTTTCTCCCTGCTTCGATATGGCATTTCTATTTTGCCTATACTATCAAAACTTGTGTATACATCATATTTTCTCTACTAGAATAAAAGCACCTGAAAGAGCAAAGATCATTTATTCATTTTTGTTTTCCTATAAGATCTAGTTGATGTCTTTTTAAACAAATATTGATTGAACCGAATGCTTCCTTTTTTAAATGTAATTCAGAACCAAAAAGCATGCACTGCTTATCTGAAGTGGGGTAGCGAGGTATTTTTACAGAAAAAGACAAAAAAAAATTTTTTATCTTCTTCTGTCTGAAATCATCATAAACTTATCCGTGTATTTAGGACGTTCCATTTCCTTAAATTTGCATGTGGCCTACAAGTTCAAGTCCAGTAGTTCCTTATCTGGGGTCATTTCCTTAATAGGAAATAAGACTCAGGCAAAACTAGGACTTTAAAGATAAGGGTTTGAAATAAGCAGGAGATGGGCATCAGGAAGGACACAGAGTGGGTGACACTGGAGGGAGGGACAGCGGCCCTCTGCCAGCAGTCTGCCACCCTGGGGCTCTTTCCTGTGTGCCCACCTTTGGCGCAGCCTTGCTACTGCTAGACTGTGCTCACTGAGGGGGAAGCAGTCAACACACTGCAAGGTGGCAATCCAGCTTAAGTCTTATGAATTTAAATTATATAAATTACAATCACATAGAGTAAGTCACTAGCGTGAAAGTTTCTTCAAAGAAATACTAAGAATATTCCATTTTCTGTTTTGTTAATAAGCAAATCACCTTCAGACCTCTAAATAGACATTTAAAAGCCTTATTTATCACTTATTAAATGTGAAAGGTAAAAGCAAGCAATAAAGTTTTACACATACTACGACCTCAACTACATAAAGAAACTGGAAAGGAGATACATTAAAATGCTAATAAACAGTGTGAGTCTCCAGAGGGATTATGGGCAAGATTTTTTTCTTTTATTTTTCTGAATTTTCTAATTTTTTCCCTAACAAGCATGCATTCCTTTTAATTAAAAATTAAATTAAGTATCACTGACCTAGGACTGCCACTCATAACCCAAAGCTTCAATGCTATGTGAGAGGCTAATGGCCCAGTTTTACTCTCAAATTCAATCATCTCAATTCATTTCGTGTGTGTGTGTTCTTCCTACGTAGTGACCCAACCTGTAAGTGTTGATTCCTAAGCTCAACTGCACAGCAAAGATGTTTTACCTTAAGGATGTAAGGAGAAGCTGACATTAAAATCTTGAAGGTTTTTTAAAAAATCAGTGTTAAAAAGCATTAAGATCAAAATATAGCACCTTGAAAAAGTCAAATTAGTATCAAACAAAACGATCCCAGTATCCTGGCTTCTAAGCAGAATTCTTACTTTTGAGAATTTTGGCAGCATTCTTCTTTTTAACCCTCTGAAATTAAATCAAAACCTCTCTGGAAGCTGGTGAAGGATTTGGTCTCAACAGTCTATAGGAAAAACTCTCAGATCACCAGCCGGACTGCCCAAATGGAGACAGAGCCATCCTGCTTTGTGGTACATACTACATCTAAATTAGTGAGCAGACCTTGCTGTTGCACTCCTGTTCATCAAGGCCCCTCAGAGGCTGTGCATCCTGGTCTCTCCTATGCCCCTAAGCACTGGTTTTCCCTTCTGACTTTCAGTGGGCACAAAAGCAAAAATCCATGAGGTGATAGAAACCCAGAGGGCATCACCCAAATGAAATAAAGGTAAAAACCACTGTGGTCCTGACTTGCTAGTTTAAATTCCCTTAGATATATATACTGTAGTTAAAGATGCGGCCAATTACTAACATGCAGGCCAGAAGAAGCTGGAAATTCTCCATAGCATTGTATTAACAAGCTCTGTGCTTCAATGAATTGTGGTGGTTCCAGATAAAGATAAAATTCTAAATAAAAAGCTGTTATTGGCCAAAATTCAGTGAATTGACTAAGTGGAAAAAAAGTTATCAGATTACATTATAGTTAGGTAACTTAAAACATGTATCAGTTATATGTCTATCTCCTTTGCTCAAACATGAGTTCCTTGAAGGCAGGTATCAGGGTTTATTTTGACAACTCAGGATATAGTTCCAGCCTGACAAATAATAAAACACTTAAAATACTTAATCTTAAAAAAAACAGTCACCTATTTTTTAAACACCAAAATGATTTCCCAAACTGGAACCTAATATTTTCATGAAATAACAAAAGGATCAAATCCCTTTTAGTTCTTGAGAAGCTGAGGAAAAACAGGTTAGGTGATCTGTGACAAGTTATACAACAAAAATGAAAGACTAATAATAACCCAAGTCTCCCACCACCCGCAACAGGGCGCTAGCAGGTTCCCTGCGCTGGTTAGTTTATCATGTATAGAACATGGCAAACCTGTCAGAAAACTCTCATTGCGTCTATAGAAGACAAAGCTGAAGGCTCATTTGTTATACGTATAATGAGGCCCGTCAGAAGACCCAAGTTCAAGTCTGGTTGGATCAGAACTCTTATTTGGTTTCAGTTCTTAATCTGGCAATTAAAAATCATGTGCCTATTTTGAAAGACTATTAGAAGAATCAGACAAGCTATGTGAAGACATTTTGCAGATAGATAAGATAATTACTACACAAACGAAGATGCTCCTAATATCTGAAATAAAAAAGAGCAAGTGAAGCACTGAAAGGAGTTTTAGAATAAATGCACAGGACTTGAATTTTATACTAGAATTTGTAAAATCACTGATGTTAATGTAAATAAACACAAAATACAACAAGTTTTCTTAGGAGAAAAAATAACCATAGCTTGCTTGTAAGCTACTGTAAATACACTGATGGAAATGTGTTAAATATATACTTAGAAATATTTGTATTTTGAACTCGATATACAAAAGAGTATAAGAATTTTTTAAATATTTGTAACAGATTTTCCTCAATTGCTAACACTTCTTTTTCTCTACAGGTTGACAGCCAGCTTTAATTTCTAAGGAAACACCATGGTTGGCTTTGTATTTGGGGAAAATAAATATTTCCTAAGCTAAACACTCTTCCTCAACCACATACCCTCCTTTCTCTATTAACTCTCCTTGGAGTTTCTTGTTAACCTGCCTGTGTTAGGCCAGGGCCAGGACTGCATATTCAGTTTTCACGGGGAGCAAAAGCAGCTCTTTCACTGAGACAAGACTCAGCCCTGCAGTGCCCGTAAACAACCAGACCTTAGAGTAGTGGCCTTACAAGTTCTTCAGGTGCCTGAGGCAGACTGTGCTTACAGGGGCTGGTGAATGAAGTCTCATGCCATGTGCCCAGGATGAGCGCGGGGTAAGCAGTATTTCGTGCAAAGATGACAAAAGTAAAGAGTACCTTGATGAGGGAACAGCTGCATGAAAACTGCTGATTTAGAGCAAGGTAGAGAAGCTTCACAGACACAGAATGGAAGAAAAAACAAAAGTGAGTGATGTCCATAAGACTTTTTAAGGGT